CACTTCCATCCTTTGGAAATCTATAAAAACTGCAAGAATGACTCTCAGAATGATGGTTACAATCGGGTACAAAACACGACAGTTCAGTTACGTGTATCTGCGTGTACGTGCGTGTACCCGCGTGTACGTGCGTGTATCTCCGTGTACCCGCGTGTACGTTGTGCGTGCACGTGCGTGTACCCGCGTGTACTTGCGTGTATCTGTGTGTACGTGCGTGTACCCGCGTGTATCCGCGTGCACGTGCGTGTATCCGCGTGTACGTGAGTGTATCTGTGTGTACGTGCGTGTACGTGCGTGTACGTGCGTGTACCCGCGTGTACGTGCGTGTACCCGCCTGCTGCTGACTGACTCGCCTGCTGCTGACTCGCCGCTCGCTGGTGGCTGCTGCTGACGGACTCGCCTGCTGCTGACTCGCTGCTCTAATATTGATCGCGCGAACACACACACACGCTAAAGCCCGCCGCACACGCTGTGTTTTGTGCTGCGCCATCGGCCACGCGTGGCTGATGGCGCAGCACAAAACACAGCGTGTGTGCATGCAAACGCATCGATTTCTTGCGTGTGGAAAATATCACATGGGTTTAATATTTTCTTCCACGTGTGGCAGATTGCACAGCGTGTGCGGAGTGGCTGTGTCAAGTTCCACACCGGCTCTATGTAACCGACCAATAGCAGCAGGTCAAGCGAGTCATGTGATCTTAACTTGCGGTTGCAGCGCTGTTGCACTGCGGTACACGCACGTGCACGCAGATACACGCACGTACACGCGGGTACACGCACGTACACGCAGCTACACGCACGTTCACGCGGGTACACGCAGGTACACGCACGTACACGCACGTACACGCGGGTACACGCACGTACACGCGGGTACACGCACGTACACGCAGGTACATGCGGATATACGCACGTACACGCGGGTACACGCACGTGACTCGCTGGTGGCTGCTGCTGACTGACTCGCTGCTGGCTGCTTCTGACTGACTCGCCGCTCGCTGGTGGCTGCTGCTGACTGACTGGCCGCTCGCTCGTGACGTTTTTCGCGCTTCGCACGAGATCTGGGCTGCCAATTGTCTAGACAGAGGGCACTCACAGAGAGTGCATACCTCCACCAGCATGTAACATGTATGTGTTACGAGCTGGCTCGCTGCTCGCTGCTGGCTGCTGCTGACTGACTCGCCTGCTGCTGACTCGCCGCTCGCTGGTGGCTGCTGCTGACTGACTCGCCTGCTGCTGACTCGCCGCTCGCTTGTGGCTGCTGCTGACTGACTCGCCTGCTGCTGACTCGCTGGTGGCTGCTGCTGTCTGACTCGCCGCTCGCTGGTGGCTGCTGCTGACTGACTCGTCTGCTGCTGACTCACCGCTCGCTGCTGGCTGCTGCTGTCTGACTCGCCGCTCGCTGGTGGCTGCTGCTGTCCCGCGTAGCGGCACACTAACACAAATACGCTGCATTCGATTGGAGTAAATCTTCACAGGTTTACCGTATACCAAGATTGCTCAATTCAGCAGTTCTGGCGATTCCACAAGCCTTTTCACTACGCACGTAGCTAGACATTTCCTAGAAATGCTCGTAATTGTTGGTTCGCTGCTCGGCGCGCTTCGTTTTCCTGTAGAAAAGCGACTTGCAATTTTTTGTGTTTAATGCCCCAACATTATTCTACAACATATGGCGTGCGATAGATGGCGCAATGAGGCTATGTTCATAGCATTTTAAACCAGTTTTTCTGCACACGGCTTGGCAGGCTAAGCTAGACTGGTACCCAGTCCACAGTTCCACATGCTACACTAAGTTCAGTGTAGCCAAGGATACTTGCAGGAGTGAAGGTGGCTACCAGTCTAGCAGTATCCATGGTAATTCAGAGTAATTGGGTTCCGGTATTTAGAGTACTTGGGTTCCGGTATGCATCT